ATGTTCAAACTCAAGTTGTAGATTTTGATTTCCTTTTGCTTGACACCATATGAGATTTGAATTTTAATTTCCTTTTGCTTGGCACCATATGAGCTTTGGATTTTGATGAGCATCGGAAGCATTTTGGACTTATGATTTGGGTGGTACTCAGAAGCATTTCAGACTTTTTTTATTATTACAAGTTGTAGCCCTCAATTATTGGGATTTTTAGTTGCCATTTGTTGCATTTCTCGTATACCACCCAGATCATACGCCCGAAACGTTTCTGACGCTTTAACGTTGACCAAAAAATACGATGGTCGGAATTTCTCTCGCGTTTAAAGTTGAAAAAAACAATGGAAATTAGGAATAATCAATGATAACATGCATATTGGCTTGGGCTAATATTTATAGTGGAGCCGAAATTTATATTGAAATTCAAACTCAAATTGAAATTTAAATTCAAACTCCAATTACATATGAAATGAATTTGAAATGCAGTGTTAAATTGAACATGGAAATTGTATAATTGATTCATACTGTTCAAGTAACATGCTTTATGAACCATCAAGCTAAAAGACAATATTGATTGAGTTCAAAGCTGAGTTGTGAGTTGATGGGGTTGTCACACTTGTCACATGGTTGGAATAAAGTACTCACATGGAAGAGATAGATTGTTTTGTTATACACAGCCCATCTCATCTGAATGAAAATATACATACAATATAATCAAACCAAAACATACATACACAACAAATTTATACATAACAATGTTCAAATAATGTACCCACAAAAATGAAATTAATCTGATGAAAAAGGGTTATTTCTAACGAAGTCCGAAACATTATTTTTCCAAATAATGTACCCATAACAATGTTCAAATAATGTACCCACAACAATGTTTAATTGATTTGTTGTTTAATTTTCAATCTGAATTATGTTGAAGTTAAAAAAGAAGGTAAAAAAGACATGTTGAAGGTAAATTCGCAACGCGAAATAAGCGTTGCGATAGTCAAATTCGCAACGCTTATTTCGCGTTGCAAATTTGACTTTCGTGTTTCGAATTTGACTATCGCAACGCTTATTTCACGTTGCGAATTTGACTACCGTAACGCTTATTTCGCATTGCGAATTTGACTTTCGTGTTGATCGCAACATACAACATCAAACACATTCCAAACTATAAATACAAGCTAAGGACACTTGAAGAAGCAAGGGAATAACTATCCAAGCAATCAAATACAAGAGAAAATCCCAACATGATAACAACTGAACAGATCATATCAATGTTCAAACTCAAGTTACTAATGAATGTCTAACTGAAAATGTATGCATTCACACATAAAATACACATAATACAACGTTTGCATTTAAAAATCACCTAAGTTAATAAGTCCTAAAAGGTGAAGCCGGTTGTGATTGGGATTTTGATTTTGATTGCGATTTTGATTTCCTTTTGCTTGGCACCATATGAGCTTTGGATTTTGATGAGGATCCATTTTTTGGTAGAGGAAAAGATGATTGTGATGGCACTGGTGATCCACAGGTCAACCTTGTATGACCACTCTCCTTGCACCGACTATATGTCGATATCCTCTTCTTTTCACCCTTAGATGGTATACGGTCGTGATTTTTTGGTCGACCAGGTAGACTGCTGTCCATGACTGGTGGCAAAACTGTTTGTAAGTCATCTGGTATGTCCCACTCAGAAGGATGTGGACATGGGTAGACAATCTCAACATAAGTCTGTCGATATACTTCTGTAGTGTAGTAATCCATAGTGTATGCGCTTGAATCATCTTGGTTTAGATGAAGAGCAACTTTTATAACATGGCCACACGGATAACCAGATGTTTGCCATTTCTTACAACTACACGTCTTTGCATTTAGATCGACAAGCCCATTTAAATTATTATCCAATACTTCAAACAAAGTGTTTGAACATGGTTCAACTCTCCAGGACGTTGACTTCACAACACGTTTCGTTATCTTTTTTTCAGTCCATGGTGTAACACGACGTTCCAATGTTCCTGTAAATTTAAATAAATAATACTTTGTAAAATATATGATAAGTTACGAATTTAAAGAAATAATACCTGCATGGTTTCTTTTCTTGTAGTATCACTGTTGAATAGAGGCTCGAAAAAACTCTATTAACATAGTAATGGGTAATTTCCGGGAATGACGACTTAGAGCGTTGATTGATTCTGCACTATTAGACGTCATGAAACCATATCTTGCTCCAAGTTGATGTACTCTTGACCATCTTTCAAACCCGACATCTTCTAGTGTTTAAGCACATTGAGGCAAAACACGTCTTAAACAATTTATATGCTTATTAAAATCCACTTCCCGATAAGCTTTTACAGCCTTCTTGTATGTCCATTTGTGATTTGCTATACCAGCAGACCTTGATTTTAGATTTCTATACAAATGAACACCACAAAGTCCATGAAAATCATCTGGGAAACACCTTCTAACAGCGTTGTCAATTGAGTTTGCCCTATCGGATATGATTGTCAGATTGTTAATAGAACCTATGCAATCCCTAAGATGCCCCATAAACCATGTCCATGAATCAGAGGTTTCAGATTTTCCAACCCCGTAAGCTATTGGCAGTATCCCATTGTTAGCATCCATGGCTACTGCTAATAAGTTTACTCCAAGGTATCGACCTTTCAAATATGCTCCGTCAACTATAATAACTGGGCGCATGCAAGTAATAAACGAACGAATCTACAAAATCATATACACAAGAAATATAATCATTTAAATATGAAATGCATGCAACTAACAAAAATGAGTCAATAAAATTATAATTATTTACTAACCGCAGCACCAATGGCGATAAACAGAAACTCAAATCGTCCATCTCTATATGTTTTGATATGAGTTACCGACCCAGGATTTTTCAGCTTTAAATTGTGACAATAAGCCAGCAGTTGGGCAAACGATGCTTCTGGCGACCCCCTCAACAATTCCAAGGCATAACATTTGGCTCTCCAAGCTTGAGAATATGAGATACTAATCTTGAACCGAGCATTCATGTCAGTCATAATTTCATGTCCCTGATATACCCTTCCATTCAAAAACATTAACTCAGCCAGAAAACCACCCAACACCTTTTTGTTTGCCTGTCTATGGTGAGGAAAAACTTGGGTTCTTGAACATGCATGTTTATCAATAAAAGTCCTAACTTGAAACATTTCACAATCTTTTATCCTCTTAGCAATCATACGCCACGTACAGTTTTTGTCAATCATACACCTTGTTTCGAAATGATATTTGCTTGATTTGTTAACTCTTAGTTGATAGCCATCTTCCACACATTTCGTATAAAAAGCTATCTTCAAGTCTTCCTTTGTATCAAAACAATCATCTTTCTTGATACGAATAACTTTTGTGTAACAATCAACTGATATCTTTACCAACTCTTCTTCCGGTATCTGAAGTAATTCTGGCATATTCTAGTTATACTCCCGTGGCATTTTCTTATTTTTCCTTTCTTCGGGGACTTCTTCTTCTTCTTTTTCTTCTTCAGGGTTATATGAATTACAGAATGGATGTTCAACATGTTCATTCACAGTCGTAACTTCCTCCTCATTATCATCAACAACATCTTTCTCGGCAGCGGCTATTTCATCATCAAAATTCGGATTTTGACCAATATCAAATCATTACATGCAGGGTCTGTTTCTTCTTCCATCACATCATCAAAATCTGAGTATTGACCGAGATAAAAGTCCAGGTATTGACCAAGATCAAATTTCGAATACTGACTAGTACTCATAATTTTTTCTGTTGGCTCATAATCGTCTAACTGGTCAATACGAAAACCGGAATTTGGTGCTGAAAGTTTATTGGGATTTGGATTAAGAAAAGGTTGTGGGTTTTGAGATTGTGTTTAATATTGTGTTTGGTATTGAAAATGTGGTGAAACAAAATTTGCTTGGTGATGAAATTGTGGTGGAACCATTAAATTTTGGGTTGAAGAACTTAGTTGATTACTACCTGCTACTGACTCAACTTCACTACTTTTAGGTTCAACAACATATAATGTAACATCATCTTCTTGCGAAATACTAATGTAAGCAATGAATCGTTCAACATCTTTATTGTCGGTTAACAAATAAACTTTACCTTTTCTCATATAAGATAGCCTAAATCCACTTAGAGGCTCTAAATTCAATTTCTTTGCAACACGTAACATTAGAGTTTCATAAGTTAACTTTTTTAATGACAATTTTAGTTGAAGATTCATGGGTAAAGGCACATATTGTAAAACACCATGAACATTCTCTCATGACCCTCCAAAACACAAATCTATCCAAACATGATCAACATTAGATGATTTCATTCTAAAATTGTAAATTAATTTACTAAACAAACGAGCTATAAACTAGATATCATCACTAACTTAGAGAAAAACATACCTTTATTAAGTTGATAGTTGATAATTTGGGAGAGAAATCATTGAAAAATTATATAGAAATAAAATTATGTAAAAAAATAGAGATGGGGAAGGATGTCGTTGGATATAGGAACGGATGTCGCCGGAGAGAGTGATAGATGAAGATGCAATGAGTTTCGATTTAGGGATTTAGGTTATGAGTTGCGATTTAGGGATTTAGGTTATAGTTGATGCTGCTGCGTTGTTATATACAAAAAATTTGTGTTGCGAAACTAAAACCTGTTGCGAAATTAAATTCGTGTTGCGAATTTGAAATTCGCGATTTGAAATTCATTGCGAATTTGACTTTCGCGCGAATTTGGAATATCGCAACGCGAATTTAGAAAATCGTAATACAATTTACATATTCGCGTTGCGAAATTGGAAACTGGGTTGCAAATTAGAATTCGCGTTACGAATTTGTTGGTCATTTTGGCAAATAAATTGTTAAATTCGTATATTATAAGGTATTTTTAGTTACTTAATTATGAATTAAACCAGAAAAAAGAAGTCGCCGAAAATGCCGATGAACATTTAAATCCCAAAAAAGGAAGTGACCAACCAGACCCAACCAGTTGAAAGCGTCTGCTTCGCCTCCTTTCCAGACAAAACAAACCTCCCCAAAAAAGAAAAAATCAATCTTCTCAAAGGTATTCTATTTTCTCTTTTCTTTAATATCGTGTTTCATTTTTATTCTTAATTTTGATTGATTGAATTTCTTCCATTTCCGATTCACTGTTCTTCGTTAATATTTCGTGTTTTAAATCAGAAATTAAGAATTCATTGCCGCTATTATTAACATTTTGTCACTTTCTGAAAGCTTTTGTTTTCCTTTTCTTTATTTGTTTATTTTCTCTCAATCCTTTGCTTTAGCTTAGTTTCTGAGGATTAGTTTCATTTTCTGTCTAAACAGGTTGTGAATAGCTTTCAAAAGCGTTAAATTTTGATGGAAGAAACGCTAAGTTCAACGTTAATCTAATCATGTTTCTTAATTTAACCAAATTTCTGATTTATGAGCGAGTCTTAGTTATTATGAATAAGTTCTAATTATCAAAACTGCGTGGAAATTTCATTATTTGATTTTATTTATTTATTTATTTTGCTGCAGGAAGAAAACCTGCTAGAGGAAGTAGAATTGATAGTGGCGGTGTTGAAGGTTGCTATAACTGATTAAATAACTGCTCGGTGGCCTTGATTTAATTTGATCAAGGGTGCTTCGCTTGATGTGGCCTTTATTTATTTTAAACAAGATTCTTAGAACAGACCGAGAAGACAGGGAAGAAAACAATGGGGATCACATGAATGTGGCAGCTGGATGCTGTCCTTTTGAGCTGCTATCTGATAATCGAATTGGTCGTGAGGCAGTGATGTCTCAAACAAATTATGTTCAAGTGAGTGCATTAGTATTTATGGAATTGTACGATTAGAATTTGTTTGATTGAACTGTAGTTTGGTGTTTATAGGTTCCGCATATTAACCAGCTGTTCTCTTGGGATTGTGGACTTGCTTGTGTTTTGATGGCTTTGACTACTGTCGGCATTAATGGTTATAGTATTCAGAACTTGATCGAGCTTTGCAGCACAACCAGGTATGTTGTCATTACAAAGTGGGAGAAGAATTATATAAGTTTATGGAAATTTGGATTTGATGTACATCCATACTGTTTTATTCCATCTTTAAGATGGCTGCATTTGGATATAAGTTGGTACAAGCCATTTCTGATGAACACTTTTGTTGACATCTTGTATGCAGCATTTGGACTGTTGACCTGGCTTACTTATTGCGAAAGTTTTCTGTTAGGTTTTCCTATTACACTGTAACATTTGGAGCTAACCCAAACTACTCTGGGGAGACATATTACAAGGTAACTTACCTTTTTTACATGTGCATCTTCATAATTACTTTGTGTCTATATTTATTGGGTTTTTTCTTGGTTTCAAATTGATGATCAAGTTTCACAATAGCATGCTTGCTTATTGCTTCAAGCTATGCACCATAATCTTTATCATTGAAATTATATGCATGCCATATTAACTGTTAGCTTCCATTTAGCTTTTGTTTTTGTAGATCTAACCAGCTGCGTAATGTCTTTTTTATGACTACACAGCAACTTAAATAAGTGGCATGCTGCTTTATTTTCATTGGTTTTCATCTTTGGAAGGAAATTACATCTGGAAGATTTTCTCTGGGGTTTCCCTCCTTTCCGTCCTATTCCTCATTCCAGTAGTTTAGTTTCAGGACATCGTCGTCTCATTATGTTGCCATGAATTATCTTTTTCAGTTGAATAACTTGTCAGATGAATTTTTCTATCATAATAATGAAAGGAATTACTCGAGTATTCTGCAGGAACATCTACCTTGTGATCTGGTTCGAGTAGATAAGCTATTCCAAAAAGCAGTGGAAGCAGGGATCAATATACTGGTATTTATCCCAGAGCATGTTTTCTTTTATCTATTTGAATTAAATTGTTAGAGGTTAGAACACATATTCTTATTGCAGTTTGATCGCTTTTGTGATAAAGATTTTCCTTTGAAATGTTTATAGCCAGTATTATATCTTCAAACTTAAATGAATGCTTAATACTGAATGTCTCTTTTCATTTCAATAAAAAAAGTAATTCAAAAGCTTTGTTGCCGTTGAAATATCAGCCCATTTTTCCCTGTATGACAGAGTGGATGGTCTTTGTCAAAATTTAACTTTTTCATTGGGGTTTTGAACTGCCCCCATTTTACAGTGCAGTTCAATCAGCAAAGAAGAAATCTCTCGCTGGATCATGTCAGGGAAGTATATTGTGATTGCTTTGATTGATCTGTGTAAATTGAGGTATGTATTCATATTTCTTAGAAGTTTTTGCCTAGTTGGTTGCTATTATACAACTTGTTCTGTTTTCTTCAGATTCTGAAATGAAGCAGTCCTCATTTTAACGTGTCTGGTTGCACGTGTTTTTTATTTCCTCTTTTATATGCTGTATTTGAGCAGGGATTATACAAAGGGTTAAGTTCTTGCATGATAATTACTGATTTCTTCTGTCAAAAATCTTGCATTGCAGTGGATCTTGGGTTGGGGATGTCATCATCCCTGGATTTCATGGCAATGATGCAGGATACACAGGTTTGTGTTGAATGCTTGCTTTTAGAATGTTGTTTTTCATATACAAGTTGAAAATTTAAATTAAAATGCTAATAACAAGTATATATCCTTGATACTTTATGTTTGAATAACGAACAGTTTCCTGTTTAGCAATGCTTTGTTAGGCAAATAAACATATGCTTGTGGATGATTTTCTTGAACACTGTCAAGCCTGAATCATTCTGATAATATTTTTATGTTAAGTTATCACCTTATATAAATGTGAAACTGGAAGTTGCGTAGTTCTCCCTTACTTGGCATATTGTTGCTAACTAAATTTATAATTCTGCTGCCTATAAACTTTTTGCTTGGGAGTGCAAGTATTCATTCCATGTTTTAGATATCGATATTTCAAATACTACTTGACATAAAATTGATGATTAAGAACTCTTTCAGGATGAGATGAGTTGCAGCATCTATGAACTGCAGAATATGATTTAGTTAATAACAGATGGCTCATAGTAGTACCAAGATTTCTCTTCCGTAGATCAATATTTTTCTGCATAACAAAATTCTAGTGTTGTTATATATTGTCCATGAACTTATACAATCTTTTTCATTTGATCACATTATTGAGAGATCTGCTCTTTTTGTAGGTCATTATGTTGTGATATGTGGCTATGATGCTGAAGCAGATGAGTTTGAGATCAGAGACCCTGCAAGTTCTAGGTACTTCCTAAGCTTTCTTTTTCACTGCTCAACTGCTCCCTGCTATGTTTGTTATATAATCTCTTTTTGTTTTTTCTGTTCAAGGTCATATAATCATTGTAAATAATTAAGGTCGTCATTGTGGGTACGTTTTACCACTAATGTTCATAAATGAGCATGTCCAGAAACCTAATACAGGAGCAAACACTAGCAATGTATGCCATGATGCATTTTCCAGACATTTTAATGCCAGGACCTATTATAGAAAATGCAAAAAATCGACTTTTACTGGGAAATTAACTAACAATTTGAGATTCATGATACTGGTTTACAAATAAATCTGAAGTTATCAATCAATTTTGATCTTTTTCATGTCATAATTTGGTAGTTGGCAATAGATTTGGTTTCTATAAAATTTATGACGATTTTGGACCCTTGTGGATGACTGGAGACATGTGTTACTTGGAATTAAGTGTGAATGTCATATATATTCATGTGTTCAACATTTGGGTGCATTCTATTTTTTTTCCCTCAAGTTTTTCTAATTTTTCCATGTATTAGAGGGTCTGTGGAGGATCACATTCCCATACCGCCATAGAGAACTAAGAGTCAGATCAATATAGCTGCAGACTTCAGTGACCAAGCTGTTCGATGTATCCTAGCCTCCCAGTTTTCTTACATCTTCTGTCTCCTTATATTTATCATTCCTCAAAGTCAGTTTCCTCTGCTACTTCTTTGAGACTATCGTGTTGTTTTCAGCCCATAATATAGAAAAAGTATCGGTATCCTTGTGATTACATGCATTATTATCATGTGAATAACTTTCCAATTTCTGTGTGTTCCATGCATCTTATTGTTCTCCTTAGCTGAATGTTTCAATCGAGTTTCATTAATATCTATCTCGATTTCCGATTTGCTAAATGTATTTATAGGTTGGAATCTTGTGGTTACTAATAGATAGTTGATCTAACAGCTATGGATGAGAGAAGAGCATACTTGGGAAGATGTATTAAGCTACACAGTGTTCATATAACTGATTTAATTGAACTCGCATCTATCGTATTAGTGACGTTTCCCTTGATGTTAATTCAACTCCACAGCCTTGTTCTTGAGAATTTTTTTGATCTTATGCTAGAAGTGTAAACTTGAGAAACAATATGCGCAGGAAACACAACAGGGTCTCATCAAAGTCCCTTGAAGAAGCACGCAAGTCCTTTGGTACCGACGAAGATCTTCTTCTGGTAATTTTTCTATACAACAATAAAATGTCTGCCTCTACTATATTGCTGCATCATAGTACTCTATTAGTGGTATTTTGTTGAAATGCTTTTCCAAAGTATTTAATAGAGTAAATCCTATGCATGAGTCTGCCTCCATCCTTTCAAGTACGAAACTTTACTTTCGCCAGTCGCCCAGAGTTAGTGGTATCATTTTTGAAGATACTTGATTGCTACAAATCTAGTATCCAAATGTCCTCAAAAACACAAGTTTAAATCTTAAGGTTACAATAGCCTAGATGCCATGTAAACCGAGTTTAAAATTTTATCCAGGGTACATCAAACTTTGCATGAGATAAACCTAAATGTATTCTCGCCTTGCATTATCCATCCCTTGTTTGATCGCTGCAACGTCTCTATGTAGATATCAGTTGACGAGAGCCGGAAACAGAACTACACCATATTGTGATTTTCTCCTATCAGTGCCTGATATTCTTCTTCTTCATCAAGCTGGTTTCATCATTTTCTGCAGTACACATTTTTCAAGATTCTGTATTATAAGTTATCGGGGAGTTGCTTTACTTTGTGTCATAGAACAATTTGGTGGTTCTAATCTGCAAATCAGGCGCATCTGTAAAACAATTTGTTCATTTGTATATGAACTGTACATTATAATGTATTTGTTGTATAATAAAAATTGTGTATTCTGTATCTCTTCCGTAATGTTAAAGTTGGCATCTTGCATGTACCAAGATTGTTTAAACTCTACTCTTTATCAACAATATCATAAGCATATATGAAAAAGGAAACACAGAATTTGATAACATTCTTTGTTGTGTGGAACTAAATCCAACAAAAGAAAAAAAACACAAACACATAAATCGTTACAGAAGTTGCTGAAGCCCTAGATATAATGAAAACAACATGCGGATTAAGGAATAATTATAGCTTGTGTGAGATACGGATTGCAATCATAAATCAACATACATTGGTCCGCGTCTTGATCATCATCACCGTCTAAAACAAAAACGACCCTTCGCCGTAAGCTCTCACGATGGTATGTCGAAGTGAAAGAGCCAAGAGATTACAAAGGCAAAGACCATACAAGCTAGTAGGAAATTCAGAAACCGATGGCCCTGCCAGAAGTTTCTCGATTCCGTGCCACGAATTGCAGCAGGAGCCGCCGCCGCCGCTGCAGAATCATTTGACTCGGTCCACTGTTCTGTCATCTCCGTCTCGTTCGGATCAGCAACATTCGAAGCAGTTGATCCACAAATCTCACAAATTCTAGGAAATACATTGTAACCATAGAAACAAATTTTGTACTTATAAAGTAACATTTGATTCCCCTAATTCCCAGAAGAATAAATCGTGCCAATAATGAAAAAACACTAGCAAAACATCCCAGAATTTTCTTTAAAAAAAAAGATTACCTGTTTCCCTTAATTTTGAACCAGGCCTCGGCACACTGTCTATGGGCAGCAGCCAAATCATTTTTACAAGAACATCCCAACTCTATAGGCAAATCACATTCTTGATTACTAGGGTCCAAGCTGAGATGGCAGATCCTGCAATCTCTCTCCACATTTTCAAAATGCAGCTTGGTTCCAGCCTCCAGATCCACTTCCAGTGACGAAACCGAAGATCCCCTATCATTGATCGTCCCAGATTTTGCTTCATTCGAACAAGACGAGGAACACCTGCTGCTGTCTTCCTCGTTGTCTGTCTGGTTTGCTTGTTCCTCTTCTCCTACTCCATCGTCAATGCCGATGACAGCGACGACCCCCTGAGTTTGTTTTGGTAAAGCTTCCATCTTTAAGACCCAGACTGTGAATCTTCCATGTAAATTGTTCTCGGTACACACAGATCGTTAAGTCTCTCAGCTCATTTACACATCGAAGTGAAAATAAGCATTTTATGTTAGATACTGAACAACTAAGGTAACGTTTTTAACTTTTTTAAAGTGTGCCAGTGAAGTCTTGCTTGTCACTTCAGTACAAGACATGGAAGAAAGATAAAAGATAAAACATTATTGAAATGTGTAAGAAAAAAATGTAGAAAAGAAATATTATTTTTGCTATTTCTGTTTTTGATTGCTACAGTCGATTTAACTGCGGCATGGAAATAGGACAGGACAGCCTAAGAATTTGGTAAGAGAGAAGGGGAGATAGTTAGGTGTCTACCTTTTTTTGGTCTGAAAAGTCGAAATTATCCAATCTTTTTTGGTCTGCAAAGTATAAAATTTACAGTCTGAGGGTGTTCCAAGTATCCTGAAAAGAAGCTGGGACTTTGTTGATTAGCAGCTACTTTTATATTCATACATGTTTGAGGCGTTTTTGCCTAAATTTCACCTTTTTACTATTAATTTTCCTGTGAGACACTCTTCAGATTATTTTTATCGATCTAATACACTTTGTAGTAAAGGACTTTCTGTAACGCGTTTTACGTTGATCTGACGTCACATGAGATAAGGAGTGCCCCTGCAACGCGCTTTATGCTGACATGGATACACGTGTCTAAAACGCGGCCCCTGAAACGCGCCTTACGTCACGTACGACTATAGCGTGGGGCAAGGGGCACGCCTTACCTTTAAAGCTGACACGTGTTTGAAAGGTGTGTCCCTGCGGCGCACCTTATGTTTAATTACCCACCTACTCCGGCCATTCACACCCCTACCCCCTTCTTATAAATACACATTCTCAATCACTTTCATCACACCAAATCCTCTCAACTTCTCTCAAATACTCTTATATTTTATTATAACTGTTTAAGGTATATTTTATTATATTTTATATTATATTTTTAATTTATTTAAGTATTTAAATTTTTTAATATTTTATATAATTATTTTTTTTGCAGATATAAAATGGAAGGCGGTCTACTTCACTTGGATGTAAATCATATATCGCAACATTTTGCTGATACGATAACATTTTAACGTTTTAATTTAATTTAAATTATTAGTAATAATTTATTTATTTATTTAATGTATGATTATTAGTTTAAAAATTAATTTTTGTAATTATTTAATTTTAGGAGAGAGACTATGTATTAGATCCTTTTATTAGGAACCTTAAGTTAGTAATACCTAGCCGTGTCTTGCCATATTTAGTAAAGGCTAGATTCGGTCACATAGGTAGATATGAGGGTCACTATAAGAAAGAACCAGACCTTATTGCTACCTTAGTGGAGCGATGGAGGCCGGAGACCCACACATCTCATCTTCAGTGCGGAGAGTGCACGATTACACTTGAGGATGTTTCTATGCACCTGGGGCTTCCGGTGGATGGAGATGTGATATCGGGGATGGCGCACGGTTCATGGACTGCTTTGTGCCTGGAGTATCTAGGACGTGTCCCAGAAAGTTTTAACGGTGGTCAGATACCGTTAAATTGGTTAGATGCCAATTTTCGGGAGTTGAGCGAGGACGCCTCTGATAATGAAGTTAAAATGTATGCACGGGCATGCATACTACAGCTGATAGGAGGGTTGTTGATGCCGGACAAATCGCGCAACCAAGTTCACTATATGTGGTTGCGACATCTTTGCGACTTTCGTCTGGTCGGATCACTCAGTTGGGGTTCGGCAGTTTTGGCTTTCCTGTACAGGGAGATGTGTCGAGCCACTGACTACAAGAAAAATGCTATCGGCGGATTTCTCCTGTTGCTGCAGTCTTGGGTATGGTATCGATTGCCCGTACATTATGTCCCGTTATCAAGAACCCATTCGTATTTCCGCTACTATTGAGGTAATTATAAAACTGATTTCGTATATTAATCATTTTATACAGTGTATAATAAATTTTTTTAATTTGGTTGAATTTATTTTAATTTATTTTGTTAAAATTTTTGGACTTTTTTGTTAATGTATTTTGGTTAATTTTGTTTATTATCATTTAATATCAATTATTGTAATTTGATTATCATTTACCATTTAATACTTATTGTAAGTTTGTCGTATTTAAAATTATATTCAAATACCAAATTGTTATTAGTTTGATAAAATTTAATAATTGTGTTCGATAACTTTCTTCAGTTTGTCACTTATTATCTCTTTTATTATAATCACATATAACACCAACGTCCAATCTCGTATTCTTGTATCGTTTTTTTAATCTTCATCAGCGGTTATCGAATGACATTAACTTGAAGTAAATGCAAATTAAAGTACAAAAATTATTATTTGATAAACAACTACATCAGTTTCTCATCAATTGTTACTTGATGACAGCAGAAGTGGAGATGTTTTTCTAGTGTGTCCTGGGTTTCTACAATGCGCACAACTTCTGTCTTGTCTAGATCTTTCTCAATATCCACATCACAATGAATCGATTCGATTTTGGACGACCACGCTCCCTCAATAAAGTTGGATTTGGTACAATCGGAAGCTAATCCTGAACCTCATCAGGGTCTATGTCATTACCTATGGGGAGAACTCAAATTTGTATACCTTAAAACTTCAGATAATAGGTATAAGGGATCCACAAAACAATTATAGTCTTGACGTATATGCGAGCAAGCTGCTATCACATGAGAGCATGGATACTTAAGAGCTTGAAAAAACCCGCAGTCGCACATTCTGTCCCGTAGATTTATTCTTAACGACACAACTTCAATCCCTTGAAGAGGTCGCGGCAACTCTGTGACATGAAACATTTCATGTCTTCTAGAGAAGCTTGTTACAGACATTCCATTTGATGCAACAATTTTTTTTGTAGATCTGCAACTAATCTTGGGTGATAGACATGACCGCCTTGTATCAAGGTTTGAGCTTGTCCCTCGAGCTTCGTAAAAAGCGCCCCAAACGAAAATATGTAGTTTTTACCAAAGTCGCTACAATTAAGTGACGTGTACCCTTTAAGGTTGAATTGATTGCCTCAGCTAAGTTGGTTGTCATGTGTCCATATCGATATCCAAAATCATATGCGTTCGTCCACATTTCTTTATCGATGAGGCTGATGTAATCGTATCCTTCCTCGTTTTTCGCCCGCAAATCTTGAAGCATTGATTCAAACGTTTGAGGAAGTAGTTCGTAACCTGATCAAAAAATGTATAACTTACTAACTTGCTTTCTTTGCAAAATTAAAATGATCGAAAGAAAACAAACTACATCAGTTTCACTTACCTTGTACCTTCCATGGTAGTTCGTAACAATGTGTCGGAGATAATACCTATGTTAGACAAAGGGTGGTTTCCACATTGGACCCAAAGACTCCATTGCTGCTTTGATCTCAGCTCCGCGATCTGAAATGACATAGATTTTTTCCCTCGTGATAACATGTGTACATAAGTTTCGGAGGAAAAAATCCCACGAATTTATATCTTCTCCTTCAACAAGAGCTAAAGCAACTAGAACAATGTTGTGATTGCCATCTTGGACAACTGCCAATAATAAAACTTGCTTGCATTTTCCATACAAGAAAGTCTCGTCGATTTGGACCATATGCTCGCAATATTTGACATCATTAACGCACTATGGGTAAGTCCAAAAAACCCGGTAGAATTGGCATCGATCACGAAGAACTAGATCATTATGGTATGCATAAGAGGTTTCGAAGTCCACAATTGT